CCCCTCAGCCCTGGGGATGGAACGTGGGGCCCCTCAGCCCTGGGGATGGAACGTGGGGCCCCTCAGCCCTCAGGCCGGCACTCCAGCCACTGGGCCCGGGCGGCCAGGGCGAGCAGCCCCTTTTACCTGCCTTGCAGACTTGCTCTCCGCACCGGTGGAGATGATGACGTGAAAGTTTTGGGAATTGTTACGAGTTTTTAATTCAGCCTTCACTTTTGAGCGCAACTAATAACAGCTCATGCTGCGCGAGGGCTTCCGTGCAGAGCTTCCCGCGACTGCCACTTAAGTCGCGGGTGTCCTGCGCCGCGCCGCTGTGACCCGGCCTTATGCAGGAGGAGACCGAAGACAAGGCTGGGCAGCCGCTGCTCCCCGTGCAGTTCATGTCCCTCCTGCTCCAGCACCTTCACTTTTAAAAACTTCTGCGTTGTACGCCTTCCCCTGGGTTAGAATCTATGAAATATTACTCCATGTTTTAAGGTGGTTTTAATTTTGTATTGATACATCCCAGGGGGCAGTGATCACATTGATTTTTTTTCCTAATACACTAACGTGGAGTTTTTGGATTTTGATCCAAGAACGATATCTTGATTTCAGTGTTTTTTTTTCCAGTACGGTGGCTTTTATTGTGCTTGCTTTTACTAGGATGGTTTTTGACCTAGGGTAGTGAAAAACCTGAAATGTTTCTAGTTCTGTCCTTACTGATGTATTAGCAGCTTATGGTAAAAACTGGAATTTTCCTCATTGAGGAATGAGGAAACAGGGTCTAGAAGAGCATCTGCTCTCCTTGGCCTGACAAAAACACTAACCTTTGGTTGATCAAAGATAAATCATGTAGTATTCTTTCAATTTTAAGCTTCACATGATTTTAGTATTAGAACTGTGTTTGGTTTTGAGGCTGTAATAGTTTCGGTCACCAAAATTGCCTCAGTCAGTAAATGGTTAGTTTTTTTTGACAGCTGTAGTGTTCTGGCCACTGTGGCCAGAAGAACACCTAAGGAACTAATAGTAAAAGTAGAAAAAGATCCCTATTGCACAGGACAAGGCCTGACAAGCTAGCCCAATAATTACCGCTCCCCCTGAAGTCCTTTAGAAAAACAAAAACCAGCCACACTCTGCCAAGCATAACCCCATTACTCACTGTAAGACATTGTGTTTAAATCGTCCCTTTTATGTTACTAAAGGTCCCCCCTTGTTTCATGTTACAAAAGCTGACAACAAGTTATCAAACTATTAGAAGCCCCTTTACGGTAGTTGCCTTTGTAGTTACTGAGTATAAAATGTGGGAAGAACTGAGGGTCAGGGCTGCAGTTCGGCTCTCACATGGGTGAGACGCTGCAACTGTAGCCACTCGCCAGCTAATAAAGGCTCCAAAATTCAAACACAAACTCCAGTGGTTGTCTGTTGTGGGTCACCCCAGAACAGTAGCAATAAAAGTTCTTTTATGTTTTTGCAGTAAAGTTAGTTTCTGTTCGAATAAGTTCCTGTTGGAAAGTTAGTTCCTGTTCCTTTTCAGAGATAGTGGGAGTGAGGAGGGGGAGGAGAGAGAGAAACATTGATGTGAGAGAGTCACATTGACTGGTTGCCTCCTGCCCATCCCCCAACCGGAAGTGGGGAGGGAACCCACAACCCAGGCACGTGCCCTTGACGGGGAATCATACCTGTGACCCTTTGGTGTGTGGGCTGATGCTCTAACCACTTAGCAACACCAAGGTTGAATACTTTTTTTAATGTGATATTTAAGCAGATAAATAAAAGCAGTAAGCTTACACTTCAGGCCTAATCCCTGTCCCTGCACACCTGTAATTGGCACTGTGAGGAAATGCTGGTCCAGTTCAGAAACTAATCCTTTCTCCCATTTTCATTTCAGTGCCTCCAAGGCAGCTTCTTTCAGGGGCTGGTTCTACCTGCCAGACGGACATCATTTTCCCAGTGGCTGTGTTCAAAACCACCCAAAGGTAACTACCTATCTTTCCTCTGCCATCATTGGCAACACAAGTTTCCCAGGAACCCAGTGTGGCTTCCTCAGTGTCTCTCCCACGGGGAAACGGGACAGGTGTGTGATGACCTTGGATGCTATGCCTACCCCTTTTCTAGCTTCCATATTGAGCCACACTGAGCATTTCTGGGTCACACAGCACCTCCACGTCTCATGGTTTCCATACTCAGAGAAGACTGTGAAAGAGAAGCTCTTTCAGAAGCAAGTTTCCGGGGAATCTTTTGGGAGGCATGGGAACAAACCTTTTTTCTGTACATCTGAGCCTTAAATTTGGAAAGCAGAACCGAGATGGAGTACAGACTGCGGTTAGTTTGATGCAGGTCTGCCCTACAGAGCAGGCTGCGGGATGGTGTTCTGTGCCCCTTGGAGACCCTGTGTGGGGCTTGCAGGTGTGGAGTGGAAGGCGTGCCTTGCTGTCCCAGCATTAGGACGCGGAGGTGCAGGTTGATTGCACCAAGCAAGAAGTCGGGAAAGAATATTGGCTTCTTTCTAACTCTCTTGGTCCTGACTTGGCAGTATGGTTGCTTATCCGAGTGTGATGCGTGTGCCAGAACTGTATCATTTTCTTCCTGAGGGCTTGAGAAATTTAAGGGGAGTAGAAGCAACACAGACTTAGAAAAACCAGCTCCAAGAAAAAGTAAAAGGGCCAATTTTACACATCAGACTGTTAAAATCTTTACATTTTGAATGTTTTTAAAGCATTCACCAGTTTTTGAATTAATCTTCTTGGGAATTGACAACCAGATGAAAAGTTATGTAGGCGAGGTCCAGAAGGGTCCCTAGTATTGGAGTTTGGGGTGCACCAGCCTCTTCCATGTGGATGTGTTCTTGTCCACCAGCCTAGAAGCTCTCCAAACCCCATCCTTTGGGGTTTTTATGGTGTGATTGATTAAATCATTGGCTACTGGTGCTGGTGATTAATTCGACCTCCAGACCCTCTCATCTTTTGGGGGTGGGAACCTGGGGCTGTAATCACTTGGTTCTCCTACTAACCAGCCCTTATCCTTAGGGCTTTTCCAAAAGTCACCTCATTAACACAAACTTAGGTGTTTTTGAAAGGGCTAGTTAAGAATAACGAAGGACATCTTTATCTCTTGTCACCTCAAAATTACAAGGGTTTTAAGAGCTCCTGCCAGGAAGGCCAAAAATATAGTTATTACAAATCAAATGCCACACAGGTCCAACAAAGCTAAATACCTGACAGACACCCTGCCAGCAATTATTTGCTTTGGTTTCCTGTTTTCCCCCTTATCATTTTCGTGGATGCTGCTGTACCTTTTGGAAATTTTTTATTTTTTTATATATATCTTTATTGATTTCAGAGAGAGGAAAGGAGAGAGACAGACAGACAGAAACATCAATGATGAGAGTCATTGATTGAGCCCACAACCCAGGCATGTGCCCTGACTGGGAATCGAACCCTGATCGCCTGGATCCTAGGTCGACGCTCAACCGCTGAGCCACGCCCGGCCGGGCGCTTTTGGAAATTTTTATCAGAATTGATTTAGTTCCTTGGGAGACTAGAGTTTTCTTTGATGTGCCCAGCTTTCTAGGACCTTGATTGAAGCAAGTGGGGCCCGAGACTACAGATGGGCACATCCCGAGTCAGACTCATCGCCCCAGTACATACCCTGCACCTTACAGAGGGTGGGGCCTCTGAGCTGGACTTGTGTAATCTGAGCTGGTAGACACTGCACACGTGCACGCTGCAGGCTCAGGCTCAGAGGGCTGGGTCCATCATCAGGGGGGGTCGTGCCGAGAGAAGGTGACGTGTTCCCATTTTCTTGCAAAGTGCGCCCACGCCAGCCAGCCGCCCCCCCCCCCCC